TCTCGTTCGGGTCCCCGACAGTGTACACGGAAAGCCGCGTAAAACAAGTAGCTCAATCGATGTGTGCCGATTCGGATTCGTGTTGCTCGCATGACTCTCAAACCACAGCGAATTCCTCGATGGGTCCGCGGGTGCTCGGAGCCATGCTGCGAGAGGCCCGTATCGTTGCGAATGCGAGCGGACTCCGGAGGCAAGCGGGGAAGCTCGGCAGACAGCCTTTGTCGACGGCAACGAGTCAGGCAGCCAGACAAATACGAGCTTCGATCATTGCAACTCGAAAGCCGTCGATTGGACAGCTGTATGAGAGGGATTCGTTTTGTTTTCGGGAGCCCCAGCCGATGAGTTGCAGATTTCCTCGTCAAATCCAGACGCCGAATCGAAACAATGACGACCACGCTGAGCTGGTGGGACTCTAGAAATCTGTTCTGAGGCTTTGCGACCGCGTCGAAATCGATACCGATTTCGAACGATTCGCCGGAAGTCGTGATTATGTCTGTGTGCGAACCAAATGCCCGTGGCCAGCCGAGAAGGATCCTGTTTGGGTATGAGAGCTGGAGGGCGGCTTGCTTTGCTCTCGCTGATTTCATCGCCGGGCTCCGAGTAGCGTCCATCAATAGTGATAAGGGAGATCTACAGCTACGGCCTTCGCATCCGGCACTGGATCGTCATAACAAAAGCTTCTTGGCTGCCGCGTCGTGGGCAATAAAAAAGACGTAAACGATAGCGCCTGAACGCAATAGATCTGGAAAAAACGCAGCAGCCCAACGCCCCTCCCCGTCCCCTCGATGTTCCGGAGAGATCCCTCGGCAGCGAGAGAAGGACCTACACGGGAAACTACCGAGGCAGAACTGTATCAATACCCTATTGATTAAGATAAGCCTCAGATTACATGTACGCAGAGAGGGAATATTTCGCGGACGTCCCCCACATCAACCGGGTGTATAGATTAGCGCTAGATCAGATGGAATATTGAGAGAAAAGGAACGGAATCATCGGGAAGATATTCCGAGATATTCATCCAGTATATTCATGCTCTGACTTTTCCAGAGCTGAATGGGTTCCGTGAAATCTCTCGACGGTTGTTGGAGTTCGAGTGAAGAACGGGAGAGAAAATACGGAAAAAGGTGTGGGAGCATCGTAGGAAAGAAGTCGGACTGATATAGGAAGCAGAAAGTGACAAGAGAGCAAACGCTTCGACTGGGGGTCTGCGATCGCTCATTCAGCTGTCGGCTGACCGGTGGGGGAATAGAGCTGTCCCAAGAATGACGGCGCCTTCGAAGAAGTAGAAAACTGTTGAAAGGATCGGGACGAGTCCCGGCACTCGGAGATGAAACAGGAGTCGATGAGGTGAGACGTAAGAATCCCGCGGAAAGAAGCTTCGCTCCCACCTACGGCGTCGACGCATGGGGTGGACGACCTCCCGATGGTGATGAGATGAGGCGAACTGAGGAAGAATGACCAGAGATGGGTGAAAGAAAGATGGACTTGATGACGGAGGAGACATACATCCTGATTTCGCCAAGTCATCAGCGGAGCATGTCTGTTGTTGAGCGAGTTGGTTTCTCTCTTCGATGTAACGATGCAGCGGAAAGCGACGGCACCGTTCGAGCAAAAAGATATTGAATTACGTCCCCGCCATCAGAATCGGGCAGTCTTCCGCGACGGGAGTCGACGTCAGCGTCGCCCTTGTGATTGAGGTCCAGGGAACAGAACAGGCTCGAGGAGTCAAGAGAACGTACAGCGAAGGTTCGAGGGAGCAGCGGGAACTCGCGCGCGTCTGGACTCCGAGAATGTGGATCCGGTCGAACGCGGGGCAAGAAAGCGACTTCGACCGGAGAGGTTCCGAACGCTCTAATTCGGGGAATCCGTTCCTCGAATCGGAGTGTCGAGCTCTTCGGCTGAGTCGAGCGCACGCCTCATTTGACGGTCGCCAAGCCTTCCACGGTCGCGCATTAGAGCTCTTTTCGAGCTCGATTCGTTCGAACGCACAACAGCAGTAGGCACTCGTCACTCTAAATCATTCAATTCATTAACTCGCGAACGGATCAAGAGTTCCCACTCGCTTCAGGATGTCGTCCTCGCTCCCGAACGTCATACGTTCGGGAAAAATAAACTCGGTACTGACCAGGAATCGATTTTTTTTCCATTTCTCCCTTGTCTTCCCTGCGGCAGAGCTTTTTTCCAACATTGGGAGGTATCTTGCGGCTTGGTGCTTGCAATGCCCCGGAACCGACAACGGCAATAAATTTCATTCAACAGCCTGACATCGAAGAGTCGGATCACGTTCACGCACGACAATTCAGCTCCGTCCAACAATGAGGAGGCACATCATTGATTGCCCACGGCGGCCGGCTGGCGGCTCCGAGTTACCTATAGATAGACGGTGGTGCCCTCCTTATCAGGCGTTATTCCGACGAGCAGCCCATCCTTGTACGTGTTCCCATTCCAACTCAAACTGGATCACGTGTCTCGGAGTGGCTTCCGAGGACTCCGGGATCTCGATCGTTTCGAGCGTGCCTGGGTCTGGCGTCGGGAACAACAGGAAAAATTCCCCTCCCCCTTGCATTCAAAGAAAAAACCTTGGAGGCTCGACCTGCGGCTCTTATCCTCATTTTGGGGTCGATAAAGTGTCGAGGTTACTCAGCGATAGCCGCTCAGAACTCGGAGCCAGAACTCGGTGAAACCCAGATGTTGCACGATCCGCTGTTTTTCCTCCCCGAGCGATTTGCCGCACTGCCCAATCATTTTCGGCTGGCGATCGAAGCGCGAAGCGTCTCGTGCCCACCATCGCATCTCTCCTGGTGCTCCTCTATAGCGACTCAGGAGTCTCTCAGGATTATAAAATTTGTTCTTTGTGTTCCGAGCTGCTATGGCCGTCCTCCTGGGTCTCTTCCTCACTCTTTGCAGGTCCCTCTCCGAGACGGCCCTTTCCAGCAGTCCTCACCACGTCTGCAGGTGGTTGCTTCAGAAGTGTGGCACGGCTCTCCACTCTGTAAATCCCATTCGAATGTCAGATTTCCTGCCATTTCCCGGAAATTTTCCTCTCACAAGCTCGATAGAACATCTTTTCCCGCGCGGGTCATTGGGGGAAAATTTCGAGAATTCCCCATGACTCTTCCTCGGTCGGCATACCGCCCCCGATGGAACAACACGGCGGGTATACGAATAGAATCGTTAACCCGAAGCCCGATCCCGTGCTTTTTGAGCTCCGATCGCGATCTTCGCGCTAACCTGAAGCATCCTTCCCGCGGGGAAGTGCCCTTGCTGTGGCTGTAACTCTTTGAAGGCCGTGTTGTGGAGAGGGAACGGCATGGAATGGGTAGTCCTTTCGCTCGCGGTCTTTCTGCTCCTGGCTGATTCCACCATCTTTCAATGCGAGCAAGAGAACCGAGCGAGCGAGCAAGCCAGCCAGCCAGCCGCCAGAGGGTCCTCCAGGACAGCTCGGGTCAGCTGAAGCAGCAAAGCTGGCTGCAATGTTTTTTCGGCGACACCCGTGACACGACGACCGAACGCGACTGACAGACAGTCAGGGTCGCAGACGAGTGCCCGCTGTGAAACTGTGTTGTGTCCTCCCCTTCTTCCAACAACAACTAATCCCTGCATTGTAGTCAACAACCAATTCTCGAAGCATGATCTTCGTCGACAGGAGCAGCGACAGCAAAGGCAGTCGCAGCAGAAGCAGCAGCAAGATTAACAGAAACATTCGCTACACGAGCAGCAGCAGCAGAAGCAGCAGCATCATCCGCAGCCAGAGCAGCAGCGACAAAAACTAGCTCCCATCTTAGGAGTTTCATCGGTTCCTTGTGGAGGAAGCCAGCGATCGAATAATTGAACAAGGAGCACTCGGCCTCCGAAGGCATTCGAATTTCTCGATTGGATCGTCTCGTAGAATCGTTTTACAGTTTGCGGAGTGGCTGTTCGAACTGACGAGCGAAATTGGAGGCGTCGGAGCGAAGTTCGAAATCATCGCCACCACCTCTCTCACCTGCCCCATGTAGAATCTGGTCCGGGGATCTCTTTCTGATTGGCCACAAAATCGACTGACCCTGCGAGCCTGATTGCTTGACTGACGCGTTGATTGGCGAGCTCAAGGACCGCAGAAATGTAGGAAGCGAAATTCGAAGTTTCTCAGTGAGACCTTAGCACCTGCACTCGCGCCAGCTGCCGTGGGGAACGGTTGGTAGCGAAAGAAATTCAACCGACTCGCTCTAAACTCGACCAGGGATTCAACTCGAGCAAACGCCGACATCCTCCGACCGCGATAAGAAATATTCAACATTGCACCCGTCGTTACCGATTCATACGTCGTCCGTACGGAAGTACTGCTCCCCGTAAAGAACTCTGATCGTCTGTGTTTGTGTGTCTATCCGTGCGCGAACAAACACAGATTCGAACGGCTGCCAAAATGAAAAGAAATCGTCATCGAAGGCTGTGACACTCTGCCGAGCTCAGGCGACTGCCCCATGCAACATTTCTCTCGCAACAGAACCAAGCGAACGCCTACGATAGTCACAACAAAGGCAACAACGCTCGCACGAGAAACAACCACCGCGGAAACAACAACAGTAGCTTCTGACGTCACCGCAACGGCAGCTGCAGCAGCAGCAGCAGGAGAGTTGGATTCTCGAGTCGTTACGAATTTCTCCGATGCCGCCAACGGTCAGCTGTAGCAGCAGAAACGACAACAACAGCAACGAAATGTTGTCGTGACCTGAGTGCGAGACCCATGCAGCTGGCGGCATCTCGACAGTTCCATCTTCCTCCCTCCTATCCAAGATAGCTACGTTATCCGAATAAGATAAAAACCGTCGGACCCCAACCGATTCGAGTGCAAACGTTGTTGTCTTCCTCATCGTTGCTGACGTCACGCAACTGGCAATGAGTCAAAGTAAAAGCCAGTAAGTGAGCACAGCAAGTGATTCGCATCTTCCACCCTGAGTTGGTACATGCCACCAGATCGGGTGGTGGCCTACAGGTTTCGGTCAGCAAGCACAGGGGCTATGATGCAGCCCTCATACGAGCCCATTCTAGACTCTAGGGTAAGTGAAATGGAGCGTTTTCTTCTCTTTTATCCCCAATGAATCATGATTTTCGTTAGAGAACAACGAGTGGACGGACGACCGACCGAACGTCCATTTATTCCTTCGGTCAGCACTCCCTCTCACCTAGATAAAGCACACAGGGAGGGGAGGAGCGTCGCATTCACGCGAGTCATCGTTATTGTCCTGCTTTCGTCACGAGGAGAGAATCCTCTCAAAAGCCATCGAGTGCTCTTTGTGCACGCTACAGGCACGACGGCGTTCTATAATGAAGCAGGTGACGACGCCATGTACGAGGGGATCAGACGGTCGTCGCGCGTCAGATCAGCTTCACGCGGGACCTCGTCGACGCGTTAAACGTCGCGTTCTGAGTGACAAGCAAACTCTCGACGAAAATAATCTCTTAACCCCATAATAGTGATTAAAAACTGCCCGGAGCGGCGGGCACGTAGCTGTTCGAGGCGCGAAAGCGATTGGTTCGCCTTGTCGCACATGTTGTGCCTCGTTGACAGACCGAATAGGAGAAACCTCTACCTCTACTGGTTGCATACACTTTTCCACTAGATGGATAAGGCTCCGGAGTGGAAACGCGCAGTATGTATCTGTATCCGGCTCCCGTATGAGGCCCCGCTCCCGAAAAATAGAGAAGGCAACAAACCCTTGCCTTCTCAATGCTCTTTCCGACTTTCGGTCCGGCGTCCTTGCCTTTTCGGCCGAGCCGCTTCCGAGGGCGGAAAATCTTCGTCATATTTCAAGGTTTATTTCCTCGGAGCCCGAGGAGTTTATTCGTGCCGCACAGCGGCCCGGCTCTCTCGCTGCCGTCCCTGCGGACATGGTGGTGCGATTGCAGAAACGTATCGCAGTACCATATACGGGGACTTTGATTGATACGTGAGTTTTTCCAAGAGAAACGCCACACCGCCGTAGATGCGATGAAAGTGGACAGATGGACGGACGGACGGCCGGGATGGGTGGAGAGACACGAGCCATGAAGCAACATGAAACCAGATTAAAACGACGTCGTCGTCGACGACGACTGCAACAACGGCGACGACTACCACGGCTACTCCACCTGCCAATATCGGTAATAGGGCGCCCCTCGATATTCTGGGGTCGGTGGCGGCAGCGCCGATGATGGGAGGGGGCTCTCTGTTCCTATCCCTCGCTCTCCCTCCTTCTCGCTTGCTGGCGTTTGATTTCCGAGCCCAACACGCACTCGCAACGTGGCCGGTTGGCTCGTCCCTGCGTACGTACGTACGAAGTTCCTCCGTCCGTCGGTTCGTCGTCCCGAAAGTCTCCACCCTCGCGCGATGCCAAACGAATAGAGCTAGTCGGCAGCCACCACCACCACCAGCAGGCTCTAATAACAAGCAAGGACCCGGCCGACCTGAATTTTAAACGTGTTGCTTGCCCGCGTACTCGTTTCCCGGCGTCTGTGCGTCCCCCCGACCGACCGCCTACCGACCCGCACCGCCTGGTCCGCCGGAAGACGCTGGAATCAGACGGCGAATCATTCGAGGCCAATTTGCCTGACCTGTCTTTATATACTGTGAGCGCGTTGCACAATGCGTTGTCCGGTAACAAAAGGCTTCTGTCCTAACATTCGTTCCCCCTCGCACAGTCGTACGAGCCCTGACTCCGCCGGCTCTAGTCTCGCCCCCCCCCCCTTCCCCCAAGTTGCGCCCGCTGAGTCGAACAAAGCCTTCGAATGAATCCGCGAGACGTCTTCTACATACATACGTAGGTCGCAGCAGCAAACAGCCAGACAAACAAATTAGAGCTCATCCTTACTCAAAGTGAAACGCAGTGCACTGAAGCCGTTCGCTGGCCTCGAGCCAAACGTGATGCTCCTTCGGCCTGGATCGAATCCTTGTCCCGGTACTCGTACTCGGTCGCGGCTCCTCGAGTCAGATCGAGGATAGAGAGATACATGTCGCTCGACTAGCGACATGCAGCTGTAAATTTGCTGAGGTTCGAGAAATCTTCGTCGCGGCAGATGGCTGCGAGACTCGCTCCTCTGGTCGTTCCCTTTGTCAACAAGCGGAATCGGAATTTCGTCGGGGTCAGCACTTCGGTCCGATGTCGGTGCGGGAAGACGAGATGTCTGCGACAGAGCTGGAGGTCTTCGGCCCGAATCGGAAGCTTTGCGAAGACCAGCAATTCAGAGGGATGGAGTCGTTGCAGAGGTTCCATACCTCCTTGTTACGCGTGGTGCGTTGCCTCCGCAGCAGGCTGCAGCGGCGAAGAAGCCCCTTGGAGCAGCCTCCGCGCCGCTCTCTGGTCGGACAGTCGTCTCTCACTCAGTCGCGCATATCGTGTCTGCGGCCGATGTTCCCCTTTCAATGGCAACCGGAACCGGTGGTCATTGTGGCCGCAAAGACGCGGCGACCAGAATCGCAGCCGCCGCAATCAATGATCCCTATGAAGATAGATGATTCCGACGCCGAATACCGACGGCCGCAAAGATTACCACAGCCGCGGAGGAACTAGCCAGAATCGATGCCGCCATTGCACTACTTGCAAGATCCGCTCGCTGGGTCGGTGCCATCGCAATAGCTTCGATTGCCTGCAGTAGCCACGCGAGCGCGAGTCAATGCAGCTCGTGCAGCTGCTTAGGGATTCCGGGAACGATCCCAACCTGAACGGCAACTCCTATATCTTTCTATCGGGCTGCTCCACGCTCGCTCACGCGCAGCACGCAGCCGAGACGTGAGACCGTAAAGGAGTTCTACAGTTTATATTTTGAGGGGAGGAAGCGTCGTCCTGTGGAACAACTCAGACTGCGAATTCAAGTGCCCGGAGAGAAATGGGATGAGAGAAATCGGAACGACGGAAGAGAGAGAGGAATAACGTAGAAATCTTGCTCTCGGCTCGAAGAAATCAAATTACAAGATGCCGCTCGTCCGGAAATGGAGGCGGATCGCGTAAATCGGAGCGTTGTTGTTCTTTTCGGGAAGGCTCTCAGGGAGAATCTTCAGGAAGTTCGAGAACTCCCGAGAGTGTATAGCCTCCGTATCGGGAAACTAACAAAGGTTGTCGACGACGACTTCTTGCAATTCAGGGCTAGCTTCCTGAGCCCCTCCCCAGCCCCCGGAGTTTCCTATCCCCTCTTCTCCTTTTGCTCTCTGCACAAAACTCGTCTCTGCAAACTTGGCCTTATCGTGGAAACGACCTTCACTGCGGGAGATAGCGCGGAACACATTAAAGACAAGGTTCGCGAGATTTTTCCCTCCTTCGGTTTTCAGCAGCTGCGTTGACGCTTGAATCTTCGCGAGCTTCAGCTCGTTTATTTTGCTCCTTGACTAGTCTTCTTTTATGTGGAGCGATGCTCGACTCTTATTCAGACTTCCGCTCGTCGAATATCAGCTCTTACGTTGCTTGCTCGTCTTCGTTTTCAAGGCACGGAATACAGCCAAACAGGGACTGGACTTCAATTAGGCCAGACGGGCCCTGTAATATTCTCTGCAGATTCTCAATCGGATTCCTCCCAAGTTCATTATGAGCGGAGCGAGCTCCGATGGCCGCCGTAGTGAAATCGTCCAGGGCTTCCCGATAGACGAGATCTCGCTCAGATTCCTCGACTTGATATGGAAACGAGGTTTTCCGCGGCGGATTTGCGGTCGTTCCCACCTTGGGGGACTCGTCAATCAAAAGCGGAATTGTCGTCGTATTTTCCTTTCGCGGATGATTGAGGGGACGGGTTGGGCGGAGGGGCAGAGACCGGCTCGGGGGCGGGCGTGAGAGATCAGAGCCGGGGAGCGGATTCGGAATGAGATTTTCACCATTGAATGTGATCGGGAGCCGATGGATTTATCGGCGAGCTCCAGCTGACAGAAAGCTGAAGCCGCGGCCGAGACAGCGGCGCGCGGTAGACGATCCCGAGGAGATATCCTCGAGGACCGATGTGCGAAATCCCTCAACTGCTGCTGCGGTTCACTGATGGCGTCTACTATTAGGTTCTCGACGCGTCGCATGTTCATAAATATGGAAGCTTCCGGAACGTTTTGCTAGGCCAGCCCGTAAACCGCCTCGTTCTCCGACGTACTCCGATACTCTCGTTCCTCCGCTCCGTCACCGATAAACGCCGCGAGATGTTTATAACCCGTTGGCGTTTTACGTTCTTCAAAGGACAGCGCGGGCCGTCGGACGAATAGACGGACGATTGGGCCAAGCGGCTGCTTCTGGCTGCTTGGAGCGAGCGAGGTAACAAGCAGACAAGCCAGACAGGGAAGGGCCATTCAGACATCCGAAAACTGTTTGCATAGCAAAACACAGAGAGCATTGCCATGGATTCCATGAATAATAGCGGAAACCAGCCCTGACTGAGCGCAAGCGGTTGGACCACCGGTCCCCCGAATCATCCAGTCAATCACTCGGCGGGCGAGCTTGACCAAAAAAAAGTGCCAAGGTCTGCGCAGGAGTTTGAAAATTATTAACAACCGATGGCTGGTGCGTGGAGCAGCTGCCACCAGCTGTTGGACTCTGTCGTCGTCGTCAAAGGAATCTGTTTTCGTGTTGTTTACGGGTTCGCCCGGTCGATAGGTACTGAGGTGGGTCGGTCACTAATCACGCGCGCCGCTGTGAAGCCGGAACACGTCTGGACGTGACGTCGAAGGACTGGAAGCAATCTGCATAGTTTGAGACAACTTGTTCGCTAATCGAGTGCTTTAGCATTCACAAGCATCACGAGCCGCTGCACACTCCGCTCGCAATCATCATTATCATGAGATAAATTAGCAAAAGCAAGAAAATTAGCGACATCGTGTCAGACTTGGTGACGAACCTGCATCGGGAACATTCGTATTCCGCGTCTGTGACGAAGGGTTCATTTGTTGATCATTCAGTTCGGAATTGATTTTATTTAGGAGCTCTGAATCCGATTTCGAGCGGTTGCGATTTCGCTCGGAAATCCCCGGCTCCCGAATTGCGAAGACTCCTTCCACACGCCAATCAGTCGACTAAAACGCCGCCTCGAGTTCCTGATTGACAGGCTTACGGAA